ATATATATATATATATATATATATATATATATATATATATATATATATGTATATATATATATATATATATATATATATACACACACACACACACACACATATATATGTGTATATGTGTATATATAGGTTTTTAGATTTTGCACCATTTTTATCCACTATTACCATTTGAAAAAAAATTAACACCAACGAACCCTGAAAATCATGCGAATGAATATCTTCGTGTGTGTGTGTGTGTGTGTGTGTGTGTGTGTGTGTGTGTGTGTGTGTGTGTGTGTGTGTGTGTGTGTGTGTGTGTGTGTGTGTGTGTGTGTGTGTGTGTGTGTGTGTGTGTGTGTGTGTGTGTGTGTGTGTGTGTGTGTGAAGGAGGGAGCGATCAATATGGACTCTGACATCCTGGATAGAAATAGCCCTCCTTTTCATCAGCCGGCCCTCGTCATCAACCAGGCCCAGCAATCAATACAGGAAGCTGAAACATGAGGGGATGTGAAAGCAAGTGAGAGGAGGCCCACCATCCTCCAACAGCCTCTCACCAAGGCGACCACCGGCTTTGGAATGGCTAATTATGGGATGCTTTGAGTCAGAGGTGTCTAAATTAAGAGGATGAGGGATTGTGTAAAGGTGAGCGTGGGAGAGATACTGAGCAACATGTGGTTTGGAGCCACTGTGGAGCTGTGTTTCACACAGGAAGTGGACTAAATGAGGGTGAGCACCTCAACATGAAGTGTGTAAATCAAAAAGAAAAAAAAAAGGATGGTAAAATTAGAGAAAGATGGGTGCAGCGGGGTGAAAAACACACATGTGCTAGTGGAAACCAGCAACAATGGCTCTCTCATGACGCCGACACCCCAGTCCTCCACAACACGTTGTCATTAGTGGCACTGACCTTTGACCCCTGCCCAACCCCCATCAGGCACTTGAAAGCCTTGACGTTTCCCCTGCCTCAAACATCCAACACCCTGATTATGACTGCAGCAAATACTTGATCTGGGGCAGGAAGCACCAGATCATCTCGCCACGTTTATCAGCACGAGATGGGAAATGAACCTGGGGGAGGTGACGGCTGATAAAACACAGCTACACCCAATCAAAACAGTCAACAACGGGAGAAAAACGTGGGTAAACTTCTATACACTTAATTTTATTGTAAATAGTTTGATTTGAAAATAATTATTTGTCTTTTTTTAGGGTTTAATATGCTTCTAGAGGCTCTAGAGCCACGTTTTTGTGATTAGGGTTCAGTTATTTTATCTGTAATCAAATATTTGATTATTATTTTTTATTGATTATTTAATCTTGTTGAGAGAATCTACATTTTTCTGCATAATCTTTTTTTAATGTTTTTTTCATATTTGATCTAATTATAAATAAGAATCTGCTTTGAAAGTCTGAGGATTAATTTTGTCATCTATGGCTGTAAAACTACTTTCAGCGTAATCAAATGTGATTAAAAAAAATCACCACCACAACAAGATATAACTGATTTTTATGTATTTTATATGGAAACACAAATGAGAATGTATGTGTGAGTTTTCAGGATATTTAAACAAAAATTCAAGGAAGGAAATATGAGATATTTATTTATTGTTGCTATGCAGCTAAATTAAAACATGATAATTATTTTCTTAAAGCTTTGCAAATACTTATTTGTGACCAGCTGATCTGCAATATCCAAAGAATTACAGAATATATGAAATATATTAAATTTATTGTGAAAAATGTGTTGTTTTAGATAAAAACGGGTTTTAACATTATAAAGATGAATGTCATTTAGGCTTAAATCAGGTGAAAATCATGTGAAAATAAACTGGACAAGCTGCTCTCTTAAGTGAGTTGTGGTCGGTTCAGAGGCTCACGTTGCTTTCTCCTTCGCCACAATTTCAATTACCAATCATCACCGCTGTATGTGGCCGGCTCCTCAAAAGGAAGTCACATGACTTTGTCTTTTTTTTTTCTGTATGTAAAGAAGTGCGGTGCAGATGCAGGACACATAAAGCCTGATACTGGCTATCTGAAGGCAGAGGTGGGTGGGGCCTGCATGCCAAACGGTGACACGGACCAGAGGTTAATCTCACTAGGGGCCCACTTTAACCTCACTACGCAACACACACACACACACGCGCACACACGCACACACACACACACACACAGAACAGTTTACTTCTATGCATCAACTGGGTGCTAAGGAGCAGGACACACACTCGGAGCTGCATAAATCGAACACACACACACACTGAAGGTTTCAGGAGCAAAACATTTCTAACTGATTACAGACAAAAGGGCAAACGGTCCGGTCCCCCCACCCCACCTCACTGCCACACACACACACACACAAAATCACCCCCACCAAACCCGCCTGCCTTTTTGTCTTTAAAGAAATTCCTCTTTTTAAAGAATGCCTGAGGAGAGCACACCCCCTCATACCAGCAGGAACACACACACACACACACACACACACACACACACACACACACACACACACACACACACACACACACACACACACAGTCCAGGTAGAATATCTTGCGTGAGGAGTCAGAGGAAAGTGAGTGAAGATGCTTAATTCGTCCCCGGCCTTCTGAAAGGACCACTGATGAAGAGGCCTCCCAGGAACACACACACACACTCACACTCACACTCACCCTTCTTTTTTTTTTCTCTACCTCCTACTCCTCCGCTCACTCATCTTTTCCCGACCTCTCACTCATGTTTTTCCTCCCCAACCACCGCTAGCACCCTCCCTTCCCAGCCCAGCCCAGCGCTGCCACCCCTCACCCACACATCCCCTCCTCTTTCCCTCTCTTGAGGAAACTCCTCCTCCCTCCTTCTCCCCCTCCTCTTTCCTCCTCCCCTATCCCTCCCCACCATTTTTTTTACCTCTCTCTCTGTCCCTGTGCATATAGGGTCACTGTTTTGCTGGAATAAATCAGCTATTTTGCCACTGCTTCTGCTTTTTTCATACAGACAGCAAACCCTGTTAAATGAGGACAATATTGCATGAAGCTTGTTAGCTGAAATATTTCTATCCAGACAGAAAAACACTTGTGTCCTGACATATCCAATGCTTTTAGAGGCCAGATTTGAAATGGGTTTATCCAAATCTGAGCATTCCCACTGCACCTGGAAAAATCATCCAAGTAGCTTGAAGCTGCAGGGAGGAGCAGCCAGAGAAAATGAGCGACTGGCTTAATGAGCGTGAATCCCTGCAAGGAAATGAGCTGTTTTACATTCTATGTAATGATTTGCTCATGAATGCATGTTGTCTTCCCTTTGTGCAACATGGCAGCTGGATTATTAGCGTGCAACTTTGGGGTGGAAGTGTGTTTTGTTGTAAATATATGAGTGAATTTCTTTTTATAGAATAGAAAAAAACGTGTTTTAAAATAAAAATGAGAGCTGATTTTATGTTGAGTACTAATGGAAGAAAACAATTTCACTGACGCGTGACAGAAAATTGTTGTTTTATTTGTTGGAAATAAATAGAAAATGTGATGTTGTTTTTTTTTTCAAATTAATCTTCTTGTATTTAGAATGCATTTTTTAAGTGTGAGTGATGAAAAATGAAGGAAAAGAGAATAAAAAGAGTGGAAAAACAGAGTCGATGCATTATGGGGACGAAAATGCTGCAACCCTAAAAGCAACAACAGGTCAAACAGCTGATTCAGGCCGCGTTTATCTGACTCCTGCTCGCTCTCCCATCACTCCGGGATTGATCCACCTCCAGAGCATCTCTGGATTTTCAGGAGTCTGCTGGATGTGGATAACAATCGCTTAATAGCACTCTCATCCATCTCCCTGAGCCGCAGCTCTACATTAAGACTTTTCATTTTCAGCAACGATATTCAGATGCTGCTAAAGTTTTAATGCATCAATAAAAATAATCTATTTTTTTTTACGCAGCAATGTGTTATTTTGGCTAATGTGTGTATGAGGCATGAGTAAAAGATGTAAATAAGTGCAGTCATTTAATTTAATACAGATATTCTTAGGAAAGGGCACCTTTTTGTTTATAAACCAACAATTTACAATTGTCATTGTCAATAACTTCTTGTTCAATTTAATTTCAATATAATTCCATTTTATGCTAGATTTTAACTCAACATCCAATTCATCTATGAGAAACCTTCATGAAGAAATTAAAACAAGTATTTCTACACTATTTTTCATCACATGTGGAACTCAAACAATAACGAGTAAATGCAAAGACGCGTTTTATTCGTGCATCTTCTGCAAGCTGAAGAACAAACAGAACATTTATGTTTCAGATACGATCATTTGAACCACATCAATGCACACCGCAGCCATCACATGCATGTGCAAAAACACAATGTGCCTTAAATGTTTTCCATCTTTTCCCAATAGCTGACAAAACTGATCCCCTTTCAAGCCAGTTGTGCACAACCACTAGTGCAATGAAGAGATTGGTATGTTGTTGCAGTTTGACTATTTTGAATCTATTAAATATGACTAGACATGGTGGCTGAACTGGAAGGGCTCCACTTCTGTGTTTTGCTGTGGAAGCAGTTGACAAACAAGGCCTATGGGATGATAAATCACTAGAAGATGTGGCAGAAAGTGTGTGTTTCCCAAAAACCAATCAGCAGCTTTTCAAAATAAAAGTCAACACGCAATAAAAGTTATAAACTCAAAGAAAGAATGGGTTTTCTGGCTGGATGTCAAGCAGGCTTTGCTGTCCATTGGGGCCAAGTGTGAAACTAACCGTGTCACAACCACACCAGTCTTTCCCCTTCTGCAGCAGGGAGGGAGGGAGTAGAAGGGGAGGCGATCACATGTGGCCCAAAGAGGAAACAAATGTTTTTTTAAGCCCGTGGACAACGTGTGATAACACAGTAACGTGTTGGGCAATGCAAAACACCCGTATGACGAATGTAACAAAGCAACAGGCAGTCTGAGGAGGAACAAGTCACGGACTCCCTGTTTTGTCTCACCACAGTCACAAGAAGGTGTGTTTTTGTTCCTTTTTAATGAAAGTGTCAACTTACTTGGTGGACGAAAACATCCAGCGGCGGATCGACGGGGTTCCCCTCACTGCTGGTCATTGAGATAAACCCGAAACCCATCCGGACGTTGAACCATTTGCAGAAGCCCGATCCCGCCAGGACCTGAGGTCGAGTCCTCTCCTCCTGCTCGGTGGACTTGGCGGGGTTTTCTCCTCCGCCACCTTTACCCGGCCCTCCTGAAACAAGCAGAACCAGAACGTTTATTTCACCTAAATGAATCAAATAAAAGGGTAAAAAAGAAACATTTCCCTTTCATGCATTTAAATAACAACACTGCAGGACCGTGGGGGGAAATCGTGCGATGTGGAGTTCAGGGCCGGTAGAATTTTTCTATTTTTGACATCATCTGGACGCGCGGAGTCCTGAGCCGGCGTGCAAAACCTCAGCAAGCCTAAAAAGTTCTTACTCCATGACAGATGAGTGCCTCTGCCCTGAGCTCGCGCGGAGGAACTTGTCTCGTGCTGCCTGTTCCTGTTTTTTTTTTTTTTTTTTTTTTTTGAAGGCAGGTGTACACATGGTTACTTCATCGCTCCAACAAGGCGGCCGAGCTTCACACACACAACACTCGGCACACAAGGGGCGGCTCGGGTTCCCTTTATTTCTCCTTCTGTTTATTTTCAAGTGAACCATAATCACGCTGCACCTTGCCTCCTCGCGTCTCGCGCGAGCATGCAGGGAGAAGAAGAATTGAGTTTTTCTTTTCTTTTTCTTTAAATGATAATGATATTAATAGCTCAATAACCTTCGGCCATGTTTCCCCGCGGACCCTCTGTGCCCAAGTTGCGATAGAGAAGCTTCCTCTGCGAAAACGGGCTGTGGCCGTCACCATTAATCCAACATCCTCGAGCCCTTCGGTCTCCGGTTTGGCTCGCATGGTACGGCGTGCTTTCTGCCTTTTGATATTTTTGTCATGTCTTTCTCTCCTCTCTCCTATCCCTTCCTCGCTCTCACCACCTCTGTACTGCTCTCTCTCTCTCTCTCTCTCTCTCTCTCCTTCTCTCGCTCGCGCTCCCTCCCTCGCTCTCATTCGCTCTCGCGCTGGCTGTACCCGTGCCCGTAGTTTGAGCACGTGACTTTGTCAATTACATGCTTTCTTGCTGCTAATTTCTGCCCCTGCGATTTTCACGGAAGACGGAGGGGGAAAGTGGCTCTAAACAGCCACCGGAAGCGTCAGTGCGTTACAGCAATAGACAACAATGCGCTTTGTGGCGAATGTTCTGGTTTTGTTCCCATTCCGCATCACAAATGTGTGTGTGTGGTGGGTGGAAGTTGGTGTGGCAACATGAGTCTATTATACTCAGAGATTAGATTAGATGATTAGATGGGATTAAATTACGTTTTAATGAACCTTGTGGGATAATTGGGTAACCATGGCAATGGGGAAAACAGAGAAGAAGCATGGGAATAACGAAACTAACTGGGAAGTAAAGGGCAATGCTGAACACCTGAAGGCAAAGTAGTGGCTGACTCACAGGTTAGAGTTAACAACGTTATATTGTTGCAACTGAAAGTTGATGCGTAAACTATTCTTGAACAAAGCTTGGAGTTTAATCATGACGATATGGATGCTATGTCCAGTACCAATAAAGTAAACATGCCACTGAAACAGATCAACTTGATTCATTTTACCGTTTACTAACTAACACCTTTATTTTAGGGATATTTTTGACCGATATCCGATATATTGATATTGTCTGACTCATAATTTCCGATACCGATATAAACCGATACCGACATAAGCCCCCCAAAAAATTACTAAAACAAATTTGGTTACTAATGTCACATATTTCCTATCCAACATATCCTTTTGTGTAATAGTAATGTATTTTTTTCTTTATATGGCATCTGATAGAACATTTATAAAGATCTTTAGATAAGAAAAGCAAGTTTTGAGTGAAGATTCTAGTTGTTTGCCTGCCTTAGATACACATGCCTACATGTTGTAAGGACAGCGTATGTTCGCTACACATTTGTGCAAAAAAAAAACTAAAATATCTCTAACTTTTTACTTCAGATCTGTTGTATTTTGACATTTTGAAAGAGGAGACGTAGATGAAGAGTTTGATGTATAAGATATGTAAAAGTTGCATCATTAAAAGACTAAAAACTGACACCAACATTTCACAATGTTAAATATTAATGCGATATTGGTAGACTGATGATATTGAACATCCTTATTTTATTTTTAGCCACAGGCTATTATGTGCTCACACAAAAGTGTATAAAAGCTAAAACAATAAATAACAATAATTGTGAACAGCTACAAAAATCAAATGGAATAATAAACAAAAACAAACAAAAGATGTAAAAAAAAGATAGATGGCCTACTAAGAGATGCACGAGAAAATCGGTGATTGAACTTGGCCAAATTTCTGCTAGACTAGTACTCAACTGATTTTAATCTAAAAAAAAATAAACATTAGAACTCTATGTGGTCTAAATGTTCTAATCAAATTTTTTTTTATTTTTTGTTAGTTTTTGAGAAAAATCAGAATCAACCAAAATCGGTATCGGCTCCCAAAATCTGAATCGATGCATCTCACCAAAATGTAGAAGATAACGTATTCTAATGGTAAACATGGCTAGTTCAAAGCCGCTTTATATTTAAAGAACAATTAAGATGCATCGATCTTAAATATGTCAAATGTTTCAGGGGCGAGCTGTCCAACATACTTAAATGTTTGATGAGTGTTTCTGTCCGTAAATTAACAATCCTTTTGTTGCCGAAGCTAAAACTTTATGTTAAACAAAGCCATCGTTTCTTTGAGCTCACGTTCTCAACACATGACTGGAAACCTCCCTGCATCCTGGTGGGCACCAAAGGAGAGCTGAACTCACAACTTTGGAATGTGAGTAGCAAAATCCAGGAAAACAAACCCCCCAAAAACTTGTCATTCTGAATCCTCTCTGGACAATAAAGCATCAGCTTTTCCAGACCGAGTCACCTAATCTTGTGGGGTTTTTTTTAGGTTCCTGCAAGGATGTTTGGATCTGATTTAGAGTCAAACACCGCCGGAATGTTTCATCTTTTCTTCTCCATCCCCCAAAAGACGGAACAAAGCAGATGAGTTATTATTTAGAAATCCTTTTAAAAGCAGCTATTATTGAAAGCTTGTGGAGTTTCTAACTCGACTCAGGAGCTTTAAACTCCACAAGTCTCTCTATGTTGGAACACGAGCAGCAAATTGAAAAATAGCTGCGACTTCTTAAGGCCGTTCAGCCGCTCGACAACATCAAGTGTGGAAAAGTGTCTGTTCATGCAACTCCCCGTTTTATCTCACACCTAACCCTGGTGAGGCGTTTCTCAGGGGGTTATCCCTGGTTGGGAGGAGAGAGGAAAAACACATCCAGAGGAATGAAACAAAAACAAGCCCCCTTTTCCCCACCCACCAAGGCTGAAGAGCCCACCCTTCGGAATGCTCAGGCCCCCACCCCCAATTTATGCTCCATCCCAGCCCCACGCAGCAGAGGCCTGCTTTTGAAGATGCTTGTAGTGGAGGCCTCAGCAGTCACTACAGAATTATGGTTTGGGTCAGAGGACTGGAAACCAGTGTCAGATGTGATCCAGTCACTCAAATCCCAACTAGACCTTCCTCTGATCACACAATGTTTTTCTTTAGGAGAAAAAAGGTCTGATTTTAGAAAGAAAACAACGATTAGTTGAGATTTCAAGTCACAAATCTGAAGATTTTTTAAAAGAAAACTCTAAAAAAATCTTCTTCTTGATATTTCTTCTTGTTTTAATCAAATTTAGGGTAACACATTACAATAAGGGTCCCTTTATTAACGTTAGTGCATTATTAAGCATAAAAAAAGTTAAACAAAATAGTAAATACTGCTTAATATTAATGCATTACTAAGCAGCCACACCCCCTGGCCCTTTGTCCTAACCTTAAGGACACTTTACCGTATCAGACACATTAATAAAGGAGTCTTTTGTTTATTAATGATTAATAATGCATTAAGTAATGTCAATAAAGGAGTCTTTTGTTTATTAATGATTAATAATGCACCAAATAACGTTAATAAAGGAGTATTTTGTTTATTAATGCTTAAAATGCACTAAGTAATGATAATAAAGGAGTCTTTTGTTTATTAAAGATTAATAATGCACTAAGTAATGTTATTAAAGAAGTATTTTGTTTATTAATGATTAATAATGCACTAAGTAACGTTAATAAAGCATCAGAATGAAGTTACAGTAAGATAATTCTCTTATAGATTGGATTACATTAGTCTAAACAGTATAAAAACTGCAAAATTAGTTTGTATTTAACTTGTGGAGAGGTAAAAACTGACCTTTTGTCACACTGAATTAAAGGAATAATTATTATGTTCGAATTTTCTTTTTTCATCATCTTTATTCTTTATTGTCAAAAACTTTTCAAACCTTCTAATTTTTGTCGTTTTTTTTCATGTTTACGAAACAAAATTTCACTTTTGATTCCGTTTGTTCAACTGAACAATTTTCCTAATCAAACATTCATAAATTGTAAATGATAATTATTTTAACTGAATTTAAGGAAAACTGATTAAATTGTGTGCATTTGTTACCTAAATTGACTTGAAACAGTGTTAGTTTGGGGTTTTTGGGTTAGTTTCATCATCTTTCTGACTAACAAAAACAATATTAATGAATATTTTGCTTATATATTTATGATCTGAACAATAAATTGAGAAATCCTGCAGTCAGACAGATTTTTTAGGACACATTGTGTTTGAGTACCTGATGAACAAAGCCAGATTCCTGAGTTGTTTGAATTCCAACTTTCTGAGTAGACTTTGCACTCCATCACCCCAGCTAACCCAACCCCCACTCCTCACCCTATAGGCTCGCAGAGGAAATTTGCCTTTACCCCTGCGCTGTCAATGTAGTTCAAAGGGTCCATTGAGCCTGTGTCTCTTTTCTCCTCTTAAGGGGGTTGCTTTTTTGTCATTTACTTTATGCATTCCAGCTACCTTTCATTTTGATATATTTTTACAAGACAGTAAACAAGGGTGGCCAGTCAGCACGTGGTAGTTTGTTTTGAACCATCAGGAGTTTCTAAATCACATTTAAGCCTCGTTTTTTCTAATTATTTCATCTATTTCTGTCTAAATCGTATTCACTTTTTTATCTTTCTACTTGAGGAAAAAGCAAATATTTCTAAATTGTATATTAAAGGTTAAAGTATCAGATTTCGTTAAATAATAATTCAATTGAACGAAAAATGATTATACACAGCTCACAAAAAGCACGTGAGGTCTCCACTTTATATTAAAAACAACTTTAGTTATTTTTTTAAATGTAGTGATTTTATTTTTATGTCAGTGTTAATCTGCCAAAATCAGATATGATAATTTGTCATAATTTTAAACTAAATTAATCCAGATTATTTTCCTTTTAATCTGATTATTTATAATCGGGTTTTAAACTTTTCCTAGATTCAAGATTTGTTTGAACATTTACTTTCAGTTTAACAACAGAAATAATAATAATAAAAATAATAATAATTTATAAGGATGATTATTTAACGTTTCGCTGTGCTGGTGGAGTTTTGTAGCGGAGCATATAATCGGAATAAAACTGGCTGCACATGATGAATTAAATTAGTGTGACGTCACGTGGAGGGGGCGTTTGAAAGAGTAGCGCCTTTGCTAACGCTGTGCCATAAAAAGGACCGAATATGCGCTTCCATCTGCTCCAGTTGCACATTTTTCATTATTTTGTTTTTGTTGGACCTAACGGTTCTGTTTTAGTTTGTTTTGTTCACTTTTAAACACATTTCTGACCACCCAAGGGATTCTGGACACCAATACCATAGAAGCGTTTTGTCCATCTAATAATAACCTAAATAAGCATATAATTAAAATTTAATCTGATGTAATTTGATTAACAGCATTAAACTTACATTTTAGTCCAACCTTCAGATTATTTCTCTATATGACATCTTGAAAATGAAAGGCGTTACTGTGAGCATGCGCGCGCATCTTTAACTCCCAGCTCATTTCTTGTGCTTGATAAAAAATGAACTTTTTCCATGAAACAACGAGGGTCAAATCAGGTCAACGAGCACAGAGATGAACTTAGGGCTTGTCTTCGTTTAGGGTTGAATGGAGGAGAACAAGAGGATCATATTTGCAGATTTAGTTTAATCTGAGGACTCACCTGTGGGACAGGCAGTGGAGGACATTTCTTTCCTCCTTGAATGAATGAGATGGCACAGACTGCGCGCGCGTTTTCCTCTAAAATATGTCCCAGACGCAGAAAGATCCCTCCGAAGTTTGTCTTACATATTTGGGCTGACTTTAACCGGCGCGGAGGCTATACGAGCGGCTGAAATCAAAGAGATTTTCCATGGATGAATATTTTATAGTGACTGTGTAACACAAGCTGCAGCAGCGCAGGCAGATTTGTTTTAAATGCGCTCCAACTGATTGCTGGGAGGCTGAGGCGCAGAAGTGCACAATCATCTCCAAATGGCTGCAAAATAAAAGTTAGGTGCATTTTTCCTTTCATGTCCAAAATGCGCTCACAGGCTTTTTCGGTCAAAAACCACAAAAACACAAAGCTGCTGAACGGCGAAGCATTTCCGGTGTAATTAAATCTTCTGGAAACACGAAACAAACATTTTGAAAGACGAGTTCTTAAGCGGAATCTTCTACCTCCCCCAACATGCTCCCCTTCGTCCCCTCCCCTCTTTTCTCCCCTTGTTGATAAAGATCCATACTCCACATCCCCCACTCTGACCACCAGCAGCATTTAATGCCTCAACACGTCAAAACGCACAGACATCAAAGCCACCGCTGATATTTACAACATTAATCCCAACGTGTGCTCAAAAATATCCCGTTTCACCCGATTTTGTCATCAAATACTTTAGTTTTCTCAATTCAACTTCATTTACAAACTGATCTGACATCTGCTGTGCGCTCAGTTAGTCCGGCTGAGATGAGCATTCAACTGGTCTCAGATCAGTTATCAGGGGCCGATCAACCGGTGAGGGTGGGGGGTTGGAATAGCACCACCTATCGGCATAATGATGGCCCCTGACAGACAGACAGGGGCCATCATTATATATATTAGATAGATAGATAGATGATAGATAGATAGATAGATAGATAGATAGATAGATGATAGATAGATAGATAGATAGATGACTTTCTTGATGTCAGGTGACGCTGTGGCGCGCGTCTCCTGCTGGTTTCCCGTTCACACCTACACTTGCGCGTACGTGCTCGCGCGCACGCTTCAAACGTGACCTGAGCTGTTTCTGTTATCAGTCGCAGGTGTTTCCGGGTTAAAACCAGAGGAAAGTCCGGAAAGTCCAGCCCTCTGAGGAGGTAGGACTACCCATCAGACTTTATTCTAAGGAACTATGTGCTGCTTTCTCCTGGTGGAGTTTCGACACATAAATTGAGGATGATGAATATCTGGTTGACTGAAAGCAGGTAGAAACACGCTGGATTGTGCAAACCACAGCTGTCATTACTGAAGGAAACCTTTGAGCTTCCCATGAAGACCTTTGTCCTGTAAAGTTAAAGCTATCCTTAAATAAATCTGAGTAAGAGCAAATACTTTGAGCTTCTTATTTGGTTTCTCTCCTAAATTATAGATTTAACTTTTGCGAATTAAATTAGGATAAAATGGTTTTGTTTTGCTAAATTAATAAGTTTTTTAATTTATTTTTATTATAATTCACAATAAACAAAATGTGGTTGTTTTGGCTTGAATGGTGCTTATCATATGGGCTTTAGATACTTAAAATAAGTTTATATTAACGGACATTTGTTTTAAGCTAATTATAAGATAAATACCATTATTAGGAATTTATCACTTATTAGTGGTTCAAAGGTAAAAATGGTTCAGATGTCTATTATTTATCTTTATCCAAAAACTATAAAATACTATCTTAAAGTATTTGATCCACATCTTTAGAATTTTTATGTTGAGATGTTTTTCTTTATTTTCCAAACTTTAAGAGAAGCTTCTGAACATTAAACAGGTGTGTTTAGGAATCCTCCCGAGTCAGACCACCCTCACTTTCAGGTGCTTGAAAAGCAGACTGCCCCCTACTGGAGGCTCACGCAATCGCAAGACCAGAAGCTGCATAAATCCTAAACGTTCAAATGTTAATTTATGCTCAAAATAATAGACATTCCATTTAAAAAATATAATTGCAATAATAATAAACCAAACTGGTTTATTACATTTGCTAAAATGTACAATGTTTATTCTTCCAGATTATCCATCTGAATTGTTTTGGTTTAAACAAACGATTTTAAAACAGTGATGTTTAATGCAAGACAAAAAAAAAAAAAAAAGAAACTAATCCGTGTTTAAAAAGTTGTTTACTGTTGTGGCGTTGTGTCCCATTCCCTTTAAAAGGGGTAAACAACCAGCACAAGTCCAGAGGTAGAAATCACCCAAAAGTAACTATGACACACACATTTCCTCTATGTGATGCAGTCTCAGACAAACATGCACACACACACACTCAAATGAGCACACTGCAACAAGCAGATTGTTTTAGCAGGTTTCCACTTCAACAGCAACACTGTCCAGTTACAGTACTCTTGGATACACAATACTATCATGAATGTACGCGGTGGTGACATTCAGCCTCTCCATCCTGAACTTAAACGCATTAAATTATTAATATCGCTGGAGCTCCGAGACGACGCAGGAACCCCTGAAAACATTTAAACCTCATGAACCGATAACCGTAATCATCAAGGTGGCGCCTGAGTCTAAAACTACAAATATGGCCGACAGAGTAGCCATGTGTGCTACGCTAAGGAAACAGAACTGAGTCAACAGTCTTTAGAAACATACGTCAGTAAAAAGAAAACAGGCAGCTGAGGTTATTTGACCCAGGAGAGGCTGAGACAGCGGGCGATGAAGGCATAGGTATCAGCCACCTCCTGGATCACTTTGCTGGTGGGTTTCCCGGCGCCGTGACCCGACTTTGTGTCCACGAGGATGAAGAGGGGGTTGGTCTGCTTGGGGCTGCGGCCCACAATGTGCTGCAGGGTGGCGATGTACTTGAGAGAGTGGAGAGGCACTACCCGGTCGTCGTGATCTCCCGTCAGCAGCAGCACCGAGGGGTACTGGACCCCATTGCCTTCTGGGATGCGAATGTTATGCAACGGGGAGTACCTGAAAGTATCAGGGTGTTAGAAATAATCCTTTTGTTTATTTTGCTAAACAAAATTAACTACAATGATCAAAAAAGGTGATTTCCCAAAGGTCAGGTGACTTCCTAAAACCCATCACAGTAAGAATAAATGTGTGTATTTTAGTCAAATCCAAATAAAAATGGCTCCTACAAAATAAAGTTCCTGTAATGTGCACCAACAAGGCCAGTATAAAGATGGCTTTCCAAAAGAGAGGTCCGTAATGAGGCACGGTGGCAGAAATGTCATGGTCTGGGGGAATTTGAACACATATTTGCACATTGATCAATAACCCCTTTTCAGTTTTTGCCTGCATGACACAGAATCTGAGTCCAACATGGGATGATTGTACATTACTCCATCTCTAGTTTCATGCTGCTATTATCTTATATAATATTTGTGTCATTACTACATCCTTGCTGTAAATAATTTACTATTTCTTTTCTATTCTTATTCTTCTTTCCATTTATTTATTATATATATATATATATATATATATTTTTTTTTTTTTTTTTTTTTTTTTTGCGTGAATCTGTTTTTACTTAACTTACCTGTAACTTTTCTACTGGTGCACCAGAATTTCCTCAATGAGGGACAATAAAGGCCTTTATTATTATTATTATTATTAAAAATGTATGTGCCTCAAAGACTTAAATAAAAAAACTCAAGGAAAACTTCAGAGTGTACTGTGGGAGGATTCAAGTACAAAATAAAACCATGTGAAATAAGCGAATACTGATAAACGGAAAATGGCTCAAGGGATAGCTACAACTGGAGAAATTAGAAGTCATGAAAAAAAAATATTTACATTAAAATTGGACAATTTGGGCCAATAAAAAAATGTACTTTAATGCAAAATAAAGAATAATGAGAATAATAATCCCATAAAACTTCTTTAACCCACAGACTTAACTTTAACTTACCAAATTCGAGTCGCTGGAGGACAAAAATGCCCACTCAAAAAAGTAGTTATAAAAACATCAGTATATTATTTTATTATTTTTTTTCAAAGTTCTGTTAAACAACTTCCGCCCTCCTCGCCTCAAACCTATTAAAACATTTACTTTTGAGGATTTTAACCTTTGAAATGCCATTTCCCGGCATTTGACTCAATGTCATTGCTGTAATTTATAAAAGAAACATTTTTTTTAAATAAAACACAAAAATTTGTTCTTTTACAAAAAATAAAGCTTTTCTGCCTGGGGCATTTATTGCAAATCAGACCTGGTTATGTTATGAAATATGTAAAAACATGAAATGTTTGCATCAAGTTTTTGTGTAGCAACAGATTTCAAATCCACGACCCTCTTAGGAACTAAAGTGTCTACTTCTACAAACGGCTTAAATATTTACATACATTATTATTTTAGGAAAAACTGTCCAAATGGACAAAAACGAGCCTGAGGGTTAAATATCTTGAAATAAATAAATAAATGTTCTTATTGAAATGTATCAAAAAGCGACACTTTTTCCCACGAGCAGCTTTTAAGTTTAACGCTTTAGCACCTACTTGATGAGCCAGTCAAACTGCTCTTTGTTTTCCGAACAGCCGAAGTCCGTGGTCCACGCGTGGCCAATGGTGAACTTGTGGAACTTCAGCATATCCATCACTCCCACCTGAGCCACGGCGCAGCCAAACAGCTCGGGCCGCTGGTTCACACATGCCGCTGAAGGAAGAAAAGCCACTCGGATCAAACGTGTTCAGGGCTAATCTAACCAAGTATCCAGCACTTTTGGTTTTAACCCTGCTTCAACACACCCGATTTCAACTAGCAGGTGATTAACAGGCTTCTGCAGAGCCTGATGAGCTGCTGCACAGGTGATCCAACCACTGAATAAAGTGTGTTGGAGCAGAGAAACCACTAAAATGTGCTGGATACCAGACCTTGAGACCTGGACTGAACAGCCCTGATCTGCGGGAAGACTCGTACCAACTAGCAGTCCTCCATTAGAGCCTCCGTTGATCGTCAGCTTGGACGGAGACGTGTAGCCCTCCTTGATGAGATACTCTGCTGCACACTGGAAGTCTGTGAAGCAGTTCTGCTTGCTAGCGAGCATTCCAGCTAGAGAAACACAAAAGATCTGTTAATGTTCTGAAGATACCCTCAGGCTCTATATGAAGATTTTAAATGACAAGCCAAAAAAAAAACATCACCAACAGCATTTAATCAAACAATTACATATAATAGGTTTGTTCCTCTTGTAGAAACACTGCAGCGATTAACGTGTTTTGGCTGGAAACAGGCGATCTAATCTGAAATGATTCATGTTGCAGATGAATCCAGAAACATCTCCTGGTTGTGGAAAGATGCTACTTTTTGTTTCCGAAGACTCTGATTTTGGGTTTGCAGAAAACAAAACAAAAAAGGCGACTCCAGCTGGATTCAACGCTTTCCAAAACATAAATATAACCCTTTTATGTGGTAAATGCACTCTGATTCAGAGCTGACCTGATTTTGGGATGATATTTGTAAAGCAGACTGATAGACCCCACCTTTATGCCAGGTTTCTCCGTACTCTCCTCCCCCTCTGATGTTGGCAACAGCTAAAACTCCCCCCAGATGCCGGACGAAGATGAGGCGCGAGACGCTGTAGCTCGGTGTGATGGAGATGTTAAAGCCGCCGTAACCGTATAAAAATCCAGGATGGGAGCCATCCAGCTTGATTCCCTTCTTGTGAACTACAAACATGGGGATCTGAGTGCCATCCTTGGATGGGAAGAAGATCTAACACAAGGATAATGGATGTAGGTGGAACATATTAATCCTTACAGCTTCCCAGTTTTGTTTCTGGCTACAACTATTAGCATCTTAGCATTAACGGGAGAAGTTACCTGGGTGGTCTGGTAGTCGGAGGGGTTGAAACCTTTGACGGTGACCTCTCTGAAGATGTGTGGCTGCAGAGGCTCCTTGGTGAGGTCGCAGTGGTAAATAACAGCTAGAAAATAAAAAGCAACATTGTGTTTGTGGAAAATAACCCAAACACCCAAAAAGAAAACTATTATTTTCATACTTTTACTCGATTGGATCACCTGAATTTCTGAATGGCTTAGAATAAATGTTTAGATGAGATTTATTCTACGTGTTTTTGTAATCCTCCCTGCACCTTCTTAATCTGGGTTTTCCCCAGATTTAATCATTTAAACAGTCCAAACAAACGAATCTTAAAAACATGAAGTAGGACTAAATGGTTTATTCTTGTGTTTACTTTCTTTGGCAGCTTCTAAATATTTAGCAGTGAGTTGTCTACACCACAGACAGCAAACACGTAGAGACCCCACGGAGCAGTGCTGGAACTGGAGGAGCAGTAGGCTGCCATCTTGGATGGGTCTCCATTTGCCCGAGAGCATTTAATTTGCCCGAGAAAGGTTATTCCCTCGCTAAATCACACATATGGCATGGTGTGATAGTTAAAATACAAAATAAATTAAAATACAGAATCCTAACAGGTAGGCTAGAAAAGTCGACAATAATCCCACGTGATCCGTTTTCAAAAGTACGCCGGTTGTTGCAACCATAGGCTGCACAAAAACGGGCAACAGCTGCCCACTCTGCATTGACTTCAGGTTTGGAGAATGAGAAAACCTTCCAATATGGCGGCGATGCCGTTACACTTTCCACCGCCTAACGGGGTGTCTATGTCTTCATGTCTACAATAAGTAACTTTTGCCCAGAAACGGCTCAGAAAGGGAAAAGGTATTCCCCGTAATACTCGCTTCACTCCCATGCGCTGTCCGTGGTTCTGAACAGGGAAAAGCAACGCAACTTCCAGTAATGAGCAACGTCGTACTGAACTAACAGAAAAAAACAACACTGGATTAAAAAAAAATAAACTCAAGCAACTGTAAAAGTATCACACTGTTGCCAAAAACCCCAAAATTCTCTGCTAATCTTGTTTTCTACTCTGCTCTAGTTAAACAACCATTCAAGTGATGGTTTTGGTCCCTGCCATTTCAAATCCACCAGGGATTTATGCCTTATTTTGCTCAACAGGCTTCTGCAGCACAGAGCATCATCACCAAAACACGTAGGTGGCCTGGTACCTGGGGACAGAAACGAAGTGAAATAGTAGAAGATCTCAGAGTCCCTCTTTCGTCCCGTGAACCCAACTACAGAGCCGACGTCGAGGGGGAAAGTCCTCAGCTCTTCCCCCGAGCTCAGACGGTACATCTTCAATATGTTCTTCACATCGTGGAGGAAACACACAAACAGATAGCTGGAGAACGTACAGGTGGCGAACACTGTAGACGGAGAAGCACAGAGGTCGTCAGGTTTGGCTGAGGTCAGCAGAAGAACGGTGATATTAGTGATGCTTGGTCACAAACAGCTCACCAATAACGTCCTTGTCGTGTTGAGGAATGAGCTCCGTCCAGCTGCTCTGATCCGGAGAGGCAAAGTCGATGTTGAGGAGTCTGTAACGCGGGGCGTCCAAGTTGGTTTTGAAAGTAAACAACGTGCCTTCATTGGTCACATATTCATACTCGGCGTCAAAGTTGTCGATTAGTTTCACCCACGGCAAAAGTCCTAAACATCCATTGTGTTAAAAAAACAAACAAACAAGAGTTATAAAAGACGAGGAGGTGATCGTTTGATCTGTTCTCTCGTCTTAGTTCCTTCACAACAACATGAACACCTGACTTACCTGTAATACCCTGCAAGGTCGTCTGGAGGTCACAATACCAGAGTCTATTCACAGGATCACAACCTTCCCGGATCGACAGCAACACATATCGACCATCATCCGACACCTGCAATTCATCTGCCGTCACTAACAAACACTCTCAGTAGTGAAGTCGGGTTATTTTTAGCAAACAAAACCTTCAGACGTACCTCAGCGCCACACATCCACTTGGGGTAGTCGGGAAATTCGGCACACAAGACGTCCTCAGACTGGGGAGTTCCCAAAACGTGAAAGTACAGCTTCTGGTGCAGGTTGGTGGAGGTCTCGGTGCCTGGAGGGTACATTTTATTACTTTAATGCACAAACTCATGACTTTGGAGAGAAAAAAATCTAGCTAACAAAGAACATTTAGATACATCTGTCTGAATCGTTTACAACTTACCATCACTTTTGCCCTCCTGCTCTGGGTAGGAATTGTAAAAAAGACCCTTCCCATCATGAGTCCAGGACATACAGCTAAACTTTACTCGTTCCAGGTGGTCGTCCAGCGACGCGGCACCCTCAACCCGCAAGAAGTGGATCTCAACCCAGTCAGACCCACTAGCACTGGTGCCGTACGCCAGGTATTCCCCATCCTCAGAAAACGCATAACCTGGGAGTAATTACAGGAAAAAAACTAATGACTAAGTGTGAAATGTATATTTTTAGTAATAATCAACATTTTAAATATCTAAGCGAGTTGGATAAATAAATAAGCTGGTAAAATATATTTATTTTTGCTTTAGCTTGCTACCTCGAAGAGCAACAGTTCCGTCGTCAGAAAATGTGTTTGGATCTAAAAAGACGGTTGGTTCGGCATCTAGACTCTCCTGGACGTACATCACACTCTGGTTCTGGAGGCCGGTGTTATAGAAGTGAAAATACCTACAAAACAGAAAGAGATACTACAAAACCTTAAAATATTCACAGGCAGAAGCCAAAAATACAATATTTAAATGTAAGGTGCTGACTGAGGCCATAGCCAACTTCACTGATTTTAGTGGGGATTCAAAAGAGGAAACTGGACATTTTCTTAATTTTTGAGAATATTTTCCTTTTCGTCCGTTTTTTTTTTAAATTTGTATTCATGATTACCTTTTTAGTTTGGATAATATAAAGCACACATTATTTGTGTTTTAATCTACCAATGAACGTTCTTGACTAACCATGCAGACTCTGGGGACACCTGCGGTTTCTTAAGACGCAGGACTTAATGCTTACACTTACCGAAGGAATTTTCCGTTGCTGAAACAAACGGTTTCCCTCTAAAATGTAAACGTCAGTTTCTTTAGCGATGTATTTATCAAAGCGGTAAAACAAGGATGAGATGAACTTGCAGTTGGCATCTTTAAGTGGAAAAGTGTGAAGTGACAGTTTGAAAAGTTGCACAAACCATCTGGGCCCACGCCCTCACGTGACAGATTCTGTAGGGAGATTTCCTCACCTGCTTCCCCTCTTAAACGGACAACTGTACTTGGGATAATCATACAGTTCGGTCATCCGCTCCTTGAACAGGTCCCGCACCTCACACTGTTCTAAAAACGGTAACGTCAGCTGGTTCTGAGAGTTGACAAAAGCCTGGTGGGAGAACAGTACGTCATGATACATTACAAGAAGCCGAAATTATTTACACATTATGTTGTCTTTCAAAAATGTACTGCTCTAAAGGTGTGAAACACTTGTTTAATCAACACATTTGCAGTGGTCTTTAGTAGGAATGAATGCCTTGTAAGTCAACCGGTGCATCATTTTCGGGAAATAGAAGTGAGCCACATCACAGCTGAGCTTCAGACGGCAGGTTTTGGAGTCTTATTTCCTGATATTTGGACATCTCGCCTCGTATTGGATAACAGCAACGCAACTGTACCACGTTGATGTTTTATCTCCACAAAGAAAAACCGCCTGGAGATGTTCTCCTGTGTGGTGGAGTTGCTAATGCTAGCTGAGACGATATCTGCCGTTTCCTGGATGCTAAGCCAACAACAGCCTTCCCTGTTGAGTCAAGATGGGCGAGTCCATGAATGTTAAGTGACAGTGTGATGTCACACTATCAGGCTTTTTAAAGCCTAGCGTCTCACTGTCTATTTTCTATCAGAAACTAATGCAGGAGATAGGTGTAGGAGACCGTTTTCATGCTCAGCCTGCATGAAAAACTCAAGAGTGACTTATAATAAGAAATAAAATTTGAAAAATGTTTTTTCAGTGTTCCACACATTTAAAATAAAGACACCGTAATGCACGAGTATGTGTTCATTTTGGACTAGTTACTCATAAACCAGCCTTTTGGAACAATCACCTGATTAATCTGAAAGCCACCTGTTTTACAGATAGAACGACAAGCATGTATGTCATTTTAACCATTTAAAAAGACACTTAAATGCATCACCGGCTTGCCATCAAAATAATTTCAAACGTTTATGACTGTAGGGTAAATAAAGTTCATAAAGTAGACGGGTATACCTGTGTCTTTTCACTATCAGGATCCTCCAACCAGCTGTATGGATCTGGAACTTTGACGCCATGGTAGTCATCCACCTGAGACAGGACACACAGTAATGACAGTTGTTAAGACTGTTAGCCAGCCAGGTGTGGCTGAGCACAAGCCAAGCAGGGAGGGATCGGCATAAAGGTTCACAGAAGACGGTAACCAAAATAATCAGGACGTATACAGAAAATATCATTTTTCAAAATCTAATCATGCATTTGTCAACACGGCTAGTCAATGTGAGCAGCACCTAGCTAAGCGTAGTAGCATGCTAACAAAGGCTCGTTTTAATGAATGAGAACGCTGTAGGAGGCACCCGGCTAGAAAGCATGCTAGGCTAGTTAGCGAGTCCCGTTTACTTACAACTGCCTCGTCACGGTAAGCCTGTGGGTACTGAAAAGACATTTTGGACGTTAGTTTTCGAGAATGGCGTAACACAAAAAGTTTACTCAGAGAGTGTATCGGTCTGTTGATTCTGTAAATCATCAACTTAAAACACTGAAACAGGGGAAGGTACAGCAGGCTACGCCGCTCACTGGCAGTCAACGAGCGCACACAAGAGGCACGTCGCTCGCTGTTTTGTTGGCTCAAAATGTCACAGCGCCCCCGTCGGTGCAGAGCGGTAAAACAGCTATCTGAAAATAAAACGCTGTTGAAGTTAGCGGAGTTGGTGCTTTTCTGACACTTTCTACTTGAAGATTTCTCGCACCGAACATCTGAACTAATTCAGGTGACTGTTCTCAATTGTTTCTCCTAAATGGGAACACCTCAGACTTCTTGTAGAGCTCCGGGTTGTGTCATTGGCAGAAGTACTGGGATGACTCTGCAGTTGTGAAGGGTGTCAGAGCAGACAGGCGGCTAAATTAAAGGAAATATTTCTGGGACTCTAAATAGAACTCAGACTTTAGCAATACATGTGTGAATGTACCTGTAAACTGAGATTATATCACTTTTTGGTCTTTTTAACATACCGGTAATGTACTTTGTGAATGTGTGAAACCACAAGTCATTTACTTAAACTTTCTTTCCATAGAGACAGATTAAGTTGTAGTTTTTTTAAGTAGTTTTATTCAGCAGTTTTCCAGGTTTTCTGATGTTATGTTTTTAGTTTTTCACTTGTGATTTGGTTGATTTTTGATCAATTTCCTGTCCTCTTCTTGTTCAAGCACCATTCCCCAGTTACCAAAAATTTCTAGGTTTCCCAAAAGTCAGTTATTGTCTGTTTTCAAGATTTCTATAATTAATCCTCTAAAAGGTCATTTCTGGGTGACAAATAACAAAAATGCACTGGTTTATCCCTTTGGTGGTCTTATACTGGATTTGAGAACAAAAAAAAAAAATCCTGCAGAAAACCATAATAACTGAATTGATACCATTTAGAAAAATTACACGAAAGTCTCAGAATTAAAATATAATGCTATAATAATCATTTATCATACAAAATAAACTCAGTGTTCATTAGTAATAATGGCTTCTGTTTTTGTTTAAATTCAACCATTATTTTCTAGTTCAGTTTTAGATTATAAACATTGTAAACAATGATGTCGCATCTGTAGTTAAAGGTCAGTCTGAGGATCTCCATCACTACTCTTATCTGTCTCTCAGTGAGCGAGCGAGAGAGAGGTCACCTCTTTGCTTTTCTTTCTCTCTGCTCATCATTCTCCCCTCCCTTCCTTCCTCCACTTCTTCCTTAATCAATCAGCGCTGATGCGACCATCATTATCTCCCACAGGCGACTGATAGCAGAGGATAAAGCGTGCTGAGTGCAAAGCTGTCAGGAAGTTACAGGTTCTACCAGGAAGACTAATTAGTTATGATCAGAGAGGGTTTGAGGTGTGAGTTTTTGTTGCTTTTGCATTTACTAATGGAGATATTTATAAGTTTTCGTATCTATTTCCTCGTTATCAATCCCTCGTAATCAATTTCCCTCTGGGATTAATAAAGTATTTTTGAATTGAATTGTTATGTTTTCTTGTCCTGCAACACAACAAAAAATGTGGATAAGATCTCTCCTACGGGGCTAACCACGTGCCAGCGTTTCCGTCGAAAAGCACGCGCATTGCTAGGATGCCTCTGCTGATCGGACAGTCAGATGTCAGCGTTGTTACTTTCACATTCATCCAGGAGTGTGTCAGATCCTTTCACGCCCTTGAGGAAGATGAAGGGCTGTAAACGTTTTGAGGAAGCGATGGAAAGATTATGAGGTGGCGTGACTTGACGTGTGAATGGTTGAAAAAAGAGAAACAGTAAGAAACGACAACATCGCACGCTACGATTGTCTTTAAGAGACTGAATTAAACTGAGGTTTTGGTAAACAAGGCTGCTGATAGATGTGGCCTTGTCGGTTGCAATTTTGGAATCTGAAAATGACGGAAGAGGTTATTACGTGAAATTGTTTGCTCTACTTCCCCCCAATCTCCTGACCCCCCCCCCCACACACACACACACACACACACACACACACAGGATCTCTTCCTGTTTGCTTGTTTGCTCCAGAACACGTAAAAGGCCCATTGTCTTGTGACACCTCTGTTTTCCTTGACAAACTAAGCCGAAAAGTCTGAATCGGTGTGTTTGCGCTGGACTTTTTATGCACATGGAACAGTTGGGTTCATGCACTTGTGTGTTTGACAGAGCTGGACTGCGCCAGGGGTGTCCATGCATGAATCACCTCCTTTTCCCTTTTGTTGTCCTCCATTGTCCGGCACCGATGGTGATCTGTCCCCCATAGTCGGAAGCACCTGTCTCCGTTGCAAGCAGACAAAGAGGGATGACCACCTGATGTGTCTCACTGCAGAGGGTTACTACAAGGTTATCCCATTCAAAATAAAAGCCTCCACAGCTTCACTGTGAAGCTTTGGCGTTTGGTGGAGGTGTTCGCTTCTCATTTCACACCTGATTAAACATTACTACAGAAAGGAAGCTGTTGATCAGGGTCCTCCACGCAGATAGTGGTTGAACTCTTATAATCGTGTCACTCGATGAACCGGTTTAACGCACCAAGATGAGCCAATGACAGTTTCTATACTAAGGAGGGATCAAACGTTGATCCTTTCTCGCTAATTCTGATATGAATCAGGCATTTCCTCCTCAACCTCTGACATTTAAGATAATTCTCATGTGACACCTCCTCTTTTAATCCCAGGGATTATTTTTTGGGGGAGAAATTATCTCAAATGTTGTTTTTTAACCCTCTCGGCCTCCAAATAAGTTTTGATAAAAGGACGAACAACTAAGTCCTTCAGGGGTACTTCTGAGTAAAAAAAAGTGCTCATGAAGTATGTATGTGGAGTAACCAGGTAGGTAGGTTTTAATGTTGTAAATCTGCAACGCCTGCCTCCTGAGGGTTAAAACACTGATTAGACTAAGTTCCTATTTCAAGACCAAAAGCACCGACCAAGCCTTACCAATGGTTTTAAATTCATTTTGCTAACATTGTCCATAAATTCTCCACGTTTGCTGATTCTGTTTATATTCCTGGTGTTTGTATATATTTAAGGCACATCCATTACAATGAACAAACGCATTTTATTACTTTTTATCATTTCAGATTTTTACAGAAAGTTTCAGCAAATGAGCCTATCCCATTGGCTGGTGTCAGTGGTCCTCATCTGCGGGTCCTTTCACTTCAGATATGTTGTGCTTCTGTTAGTCAAGGATTAATTTAGATTAGCAACATCCCCACACTTGGTTTGGACATTTTATCCTGATATCTATCATTTAGATGACGTTTAAATGTTTATTTTTCTTTCAATCCCAAAATGTTCATTCTTTCTGGGCCCTTTAGTGAGCACTGAGCTCCTAAACTGGTGTTATTTAAAGGTGCAGTGTGTAAGAATAAACTAAGAATTCTACAGTGAAATAACATCAAAACAAGCTAACGTCTGAATCATGTTGGTAGGAAGATGATACTGAAACATATTTTATTTATTCTGCAAGGGTTGTCAGTTTTTCTCCTTTCAAAATAAAGGAAGGAGGGACGTAGCTACTCTACCATCAGTGAGTGTGAGGTTGCGTGTCTCCTGCCAGCTAAAGCTGTAGCGCCAGCATTTTTAATTTAACTATTGCCAGCAAAAAACTGCAGAGTTGTTGAAAAAAACCAAAGCCAGAAACAAGAGCGACCCTTAAGAAGCCACGGAATCTTTTTCTTTTACTCTGGTAAAGAAGGCTAGAGGCTAACATTGAGCTAATAATGCTAATGGTAAATTAGATGCAAATAAAACTGTCTCAAGCTACTTTTTAAATCATCAACAACTTGATATTACAGTGAAATCGGTGTGAAGTGAACAATGAGTCAAATGTGGTGTTTTACTTTCTTAAATGAATCGTTCAGAGCAATAGCAGCAAGCTAACTCCAAGACGGTAACAATCACTTCCTCTATGCCGGAGTAACATTACCATAATACGTGTAGTAAGTGCTCCCTAGCGTAAAACATCCAAGAGTGCTAGCACCAGATATGACAATGTATTACTTTTCAACTTACTGTGTATGACTCGTCTTTGCTTGTCATCTAGAATATTCTGGTGCTGATCCGTAACTGGCAACAGCCATGAAACTCAGAACAGGAGTCAGAGAGTCACTGCAGTAGCCAAAATTGACTACAGAATGTCATGTTTGCGCCATTTCTACATATTGCACCTTTAATGTGTCAAATTACATCAGAGGTTCGGATGAATCAAATAGACCACTAATTATTACCAGAAATAGCATGAATCAAATTAGGTCCTCTCAGAAAAGAGTTTGTCTTAAAAAATTAGTTTTAAAACCTCTGGATTAGGCCGTAATAAACCCACGTTGATCCCACACCAGTAAAGAAATATTTCATCTTTGAACTGAAACGCCATAATTTGCTCACGGGCCACTTTAAAATGTCCATTTCTTGTCACAACTGAAGTTTTATTCAGCATTTATTTCTCATCAGAGCTGTCACAAATCTCAGATGCAGACTGTTACCAACGATAAATGTCAAGCCACAGTCCGTCATCCTAATGATAGCAGTCCAAAGGATGCCAGCGCGACACAACAATACATAAACAATAATAAGGATGCTTTTAAATACAGAGATCACAGGGGACGGCTTCCTGCTCGGCTGTCATTAAGCAGGGACTCAATAACAGCCCGATGTGGTGGTGGGCCAGTGCAGCCTGGCCCGTCAGATATCCTCAGACAACAGGATGTTTTTGAAGATCCAGGTGGGGAATTTACCTCTCACACAGAAGATAGATCCAATCCCTTCATAAATGATAAGAAATCTGTTTACCATTTTTCAGCCATGCCTGATCTGAGCTGCAGCGTTGGTAATTTACAGGTGTCTTCAGTTTGAGCTGTGGAAACCAGCCCAGTGCTCCAGGATGACTGTTGCAGCTATTAACGAAGCTAGAGGCACGCATTCCTGATTTAACATGGCACAAAAACATAAATAAGAGCCACAATAAGGTGAAGTTAGTCACCCAGACTTTGCTGTTGTTGGTGCAGATCACGATGAAAAGGGAAAGAAAAGCTTTCAGGTTACCTAAAGCCAGCCTGGTGAAAGAGCCAAAGATAAAAGGACAGTTTAAAAAAAAAAAAAAAAAAAAGTTTAGGTGTTGAATGTCTTCA